TCCGAGGGTGAGGAAGGCCCGATACGAAGAAGCAGATCTCATTCAGGAGTTCAGGGATACCTCTTCGGCCGGTTTAGGCGCCGTGGTGGTGGAGCAGGTGGCCAGGCTGCGGAAAGTGGCCCAGAGCTGCTCCAACCTTAATGGAACTACGGTGGGTGCGCTGTGGAACGCCTCGGTACTCATCTCTGCAGCTGCCACGGTACTGAACCAGCGATCGCAGCAAACTGGTCACGTGGTGGCTGAGGCGGAATGGGAAGACCTCAGGAAGGAGGTCCGCCTGCTGAAGGGAGACTTGACGCACCTTAGGGCCGAAAACGCAAGCTTCAGGTCCGAGAATGAGGACCTGAAGGCTCAGGTTAAGAAGCTGGAGGAGGAGCGAGCTACAGCGGCGGCGAGGGCCCCTAGCCCTCAACCCCCAGCGCCCAGGTCGAGGAGCTTGGCGACGCTGCCGGCTATTGTCAAGTCAGAATCGGAGGGGGAGAGTATGAGGGGGACTATCATCGCTCTCCCGGACCCCCCCGCCAGACCCCTCCTGCCGCCCGCAGCCGGGAGAGACCATTCCCCCGGTGATCAGGCCCCCGCTCAAGGGGGCCTCGGCCATCATCGAGCCCCCGAGAGTGGTGGAACTCGCTTCCCCTCCTTCAATCGAGGGGGGGATAGAGGCGTGCCTCGAGACTCTACTCCCTAGGCTCCTGGCGCGAATGGGTGTCGGGCCGCCCTCACCTGCCACCCCGTGCTCCACGGAGACAACGGGGGTTGGGAGGGAGAGTACGGTCACCGAGAAGGAGGTTAGGCATCGCCTTTCCTCCCCTGGGAGTGGGCGGATGAAGGGGGGAGGGACGAATCCACCCGGAATCCTGGAGCGGTCTCTGGGGCAAGTGGCCATACGGCCAAGAGAAAGAAGAAGAAGAAGAGGAAGGGGAGGGAAGGTAGGGAGAGTTTCAATCAGGAGGACCCTCCTACGCAGGGTGTTCCCCGTTCCGACACCCGGGAGAGAGCCCACTCGGGTCACACGGGTGGTCTGGAGGCCCAGAAAGAGGGCCCAAAACAAGGGGCGACCACCTCCACTCCTGAGACGGGGAAGGCGAAGGACAAGGAGACGGTCTCAACCCGTTCCTCCGCTCAGCCGCCCCAGGCTGAGGGGTGGAACAAGGTGGTGGGCAGGAGAGCGGGGAGGAGGCCGCTGCCAACACATGCCCAGACGGCCTCTGGGGGGGGAATCCTCCTCTCCTGGCGGTGGCAAAGGCAAGCTACCCAAGGGAAATAAGGCGGAGGGCAAAAAATCCTCCCCACAGGTCCCCTTGAAGAAGACAGGGGATAGCAAACCCTCCCCGGACCCTGCTGGGAAAACGGGAGGGAAAAGTGTCCCACATTTGAAGGCGCCAACGTCGGCGGCGGTGTGCATCACCTGCCCGGAAGGACAGTATAGCGAGGTGATGCGCACCGCCAGGAGTAGAATTCCCCTCTCCGAGTTGGGGATCAGCAACCTCAGATGTAAAAGAGCTATCGCCGGGGCTCTCATTCTCGAGGTCTCCGGCTCGGAAGGCGATAAACTCGCAAATGCCCTGGCCGAAAGACTCAGGGTGGTGTTTGCGGGAGCAGAGGGGGTGAGGATTTACCGCCCCTCGAAGAAGGCGGAGATTCGCCTCCATAATTTGGAGGACTCGGTCACGGCCGCGGAAATACCGGCGGCTGTGGCTGGCTCCTCGGGAGGCGATCCCTCCGACGTGGGGTGGGGTGGGGGGTTGAGGAGAGCCCCTAACGGGCTAGCTACCGCTTGGATCCAGTGCCCGGTCTCCGTGGCCAAAAAGGTCGCGGAGGCGGGCCGGATCCAGGTCGGTTGGGGTCTGGCCCGGGCCGAGGTGCTGGCGGCAAGACCCCTGCAATGCTTCCGCTGCTTGGAAGAGGGGCACGTCCGTCAGCACTGCCGCAGCGAGATCAACCGATCCGGTTTATGCTACCGCTGCGGCGGCCCGGGTCACCAAGCCGCGGAGTGCACCGGACGCCTGTCGTGCCCGGTGTGCTCCACGGCCGATAAAGAGGTGGCCCACAGGCTGGGAGGGGAGGCCTGCTTGGCCTTCCAGAAAAATAAGGGAATAGGGAGGAAGAACAAAGGGGCGGGGAAAGCCCGAACCTCGCCTTCCTCTCTACCCCACCAGGAAGGAAGCCAGCAGCGATCCTAGGCCCCCCGGGAAAAGGTTGCCGGACCATCTGGGTTGGGTCAATTGGACCCCCCCCCCGAGAGAGAGAAGGGAGCCCAGGAAGCCAAAAAGAGACGAGGTTCGCCCATCTGCACCCGAGGCCCCAGAGTCTCTCATGGAGGTGCAGATGGAGGAGACTCCCCTGGCGACGGTGGAGAAAGGTGGAACGGGAGCGGAGGCAGCCCCCGCTATTACTGAGATGGTCGACCTGGAGGAAGTAAATTTGACGCCCACAAATGGCGACTAAACTCCTCCAGGCCAACTTAGGCCACACCAGGATCGCCCAGGACCTGTTCCTGCACTCGCTCGCCGAACGCGGGGCAGGCCTCCGGGCGTGGCGTCCGAGCCCTACCGGATCCCGACCGACAATTCTCGCTGTTTCGGGCTACCGGAGGGCTCGGCCGCCATTTACTGGAGGTGCTGCCAGGAATCTCCTCGGCCGACGCTCATCGAAGCCGAGGAATTCCTGGTGGCGGTGAGATGGGGGGCCCTGGTAGTGGTCGCCCTCTTCGCTCCCCCAAGATGGACTAGAGCCGACTACGAGGAGCACCTGGACCGGGTGTCAGGGGTTGTCAGAAGATGCGCCCCTCACCCGGTGGTGGTGGCCTGGGACTTCAACGCCAAATCCACGGCGTGGGGTTCC